GGAAGCGCATCCTATTTTTTAAATTTAACGCAACGACTTTTTTTACTTCAGGCTGGACCACCACCACCATACACATAGTAAATCAAAACAGAGTTGGCCGTTCTTGAAGCTTTGAATTCAGCGAGCTCACAATCGTCAACAACACCATCATCGACCTTCCCGCGTAATTAGCCTTCTCGTATCGACCTAATTGTATTAAACGAACAACATCCCTTAACCTCTACTCTGTCCCCATATAAATATGCTGGCCCGATTTTAATTTATCGCGCGCGTACATGTGCTCGCAAAAGGACATTAGCACTTATTATGTTTGTCCAAAAATGGATAATCGAAAACGTTCGTTGACTTTACCTTACTCCATCAATTCTAACATGGGTAGTATGGCTAAGCACTACTAATCCGCGGTTCCGTCAGTATTCAGTGGACTTAATGAGAACCTGCGTTAAACATGCCCTGGTCTAAGCGAATGTTGTTTCTGATTTCCAAGGCAAAGTAAGGTTAACAGCATGCTCCAACACTTTACATAGGTCGGGTTTTTGACCGCCTTGTATAGACTGCCTCCAGGTAGCGGGCAAAGCAACTATGTCAGAGAAACTGGCAGTTGTCTCAAGGCGTGAATTGCCGAACACGCGGAAGCATTCCTACGAAATTATGTCAGTTCTCAAGTTGCGACTCATTCAAAGAGAACCAGCCACACATTCAAGGTTGATGAGGTCGAAGTTCTCACAAGAGGTCACAATCGGGTGAGCCGATAATTACTTGAGTCATGGTTCATGGGCCTCTAATCCATCAACAAGTGCAACGATTTGCCCAATCCATATTCGGTGCTGAGACTCCACTTGTGGTACGGACAGGGCCAGACTGTCGAGGAGTCATCATGCCCCAGTCCACCACGCGTGATGAACGTTCAGCAGGTCAGAGCCCGCATGCCCTCCAACTAACTACCCACGAAGAGGAAGGCGATTAACGTTAATTCTCTCTGTATATTTGAAACAATGACTGTGTCCCATAAATACTGCAAACACCTGTGCATGTATTACCTGTTTGACTACGTCCCTGATGACGAATCCGCGACGGACCTCAAAACCTCAGGCGACTAAATATATTGTCCCAGCGATCGAGTCGTGATCTTCTCAAACACCTTAGTATCCCTGTTCCTCAGTAAAATTAACGAGTCGTTAAGGTTTCCCTGTATCTCTATGTACTAGACCTTCGCAGAAATTAAAAACCATGGTATGATGATTGTTTATGTAAAATAGCCGTGAATTTTTTTAAAAAGGGAGAGAGTACCATAGTCATTTAAGTAGAATACATTTTGCAGATGCATGTATAGTGGATTTGAGACAGTTTTAAACTGTATCTTCTTTCAAGTCAAATAGAGATAACACATCGGCGAACACCGTTTGACCGGCATGCTGAGGGCGGCTTCTATTTTAAAGGTGCAGGTTCGGGAACTGGAACCCGAAGCGGTACATCCTAGGGGGTTGTAGCATCGGGTTCGGAAACTGGCCTGTTTGCTGCAAATGCAAAGGCGCCCAGCAGGATGTCGAGAGCGTGTGATAGGCCTGATTTGGGTCCAGTTGGTCGCCGTCGGATCTGGTTTTAGTGACGAGCCCAGCTATCATCACCAACACAGACACCGAACCGCATGGTGCTATTTTGGGCCACTTTGGGTAGGCGTCGACCACGACTTAGGAAATGAATCCATCGAGTGGGCCGGCGAAATTGATATGCACACATGAATAAGGCCTGTCCGGCGTTTGCAATGGTACTGGCGATTGACGAGCGGGCACGTTCGCAGCTCGTTGACAATGGGAACAGCGCCGAATGAG